CTCATACGGGGAGGTGCACAATCAAATGTTGCATCGACAAGAAGCGGTGGGTGGAAAGATCTTCTCTAACTTACAAAGCAACACGGGTGCCGCTTTTTCAAGTCATCAATGACGGTCCGAGAGAGCTCCTTGGCACAAAGTCATGCGGAATAAGTAGCTCAACTCTGCCAGCACTTGCCAGACATGCTCCGGGACATAGCCTCGAACCATCGCCGGAAGAAGCCGCTCAATCCATATGTGGTAGTCATGACTCTTCATCCCGTTGACTCGCAGAGTGCCTAAGTTAACTCCCCTCTTTAGATTCGCTGCATACCCATCAGGGAACATTAGCTTCTTGATCCATTCAAGTACTTCCCTCCTTTGGTCCTTTTTCAAGACAAAATCAGCCTTAGGCCTTCTCCAAGTCTTGCCACGACTAGGAGGTTGCATCTCTTGATTTGGTCTATCGCACAACGTTGCCAGGTCTACTCTAGCCTTTGGGTTGTCCTTAGACTTTTCAGTGTCCATGAGTGTTGCCCAAAGTGCCTCGGCGACATTCTTTTCAGTGTGCATTACATCAATGTTATGTGGTAGAAGAAGGTCATCGAAATAGGGGAGCCTCGTCATGCCCGAGATATGAGTCCACATATGCTGCTCACCATATCCCACAAAACCACCTTCTTCATTGGGCACGAGAGCACCTATCTGAGCATGAACCTCGGCACCATTCATCATCCATGGTGCAGGGTTTGTCACTTTGACGCCTTTTCGTAAAGTTCTTGATGTCTTGTCTGAATGGATGGTCAAGAGGTAGGAATTGACGATGTCTATCAAACGATTTAATATATTGCCACCCTTACGCAACCAAATAAACCTCACACCTTCCTTGCATATTGGGCATGGGAACTTCCGTGAACACATCATCATGAGAATATCCCATACGCCAGAAGTCATGCGGGGAGTAGTGGTACCAAACGTGCATTTTGAAGGTTGTCTTTGTAGCTCGATCGTATGTCCATACCCCTTCGTCCCCAAGCACGGACCAATTCATCAAATACGGGCTCCATGAACACACCCATATTACTCCCTAGGTGTCCAGGAATTATCAACGACAAGAATACGTTATGTCGTTGAAAGGAGACACCGGGGGGAAGATTAAGGGGGATAACAAAGACGGGCCAACATGTGTATGGGGCAGCCATCATTCCATAAGGATTGAACCCATCTGTTGCCAACGCGACACGTACATTACGAGCCTCATCTGCTTTGTCACGATGTTTGTCATTAAAGCGGATCCAAGCTTCACCATCGGATGGATGTACCATCTTGTCAGGATTGTACCGCTTGCCATTTTGTGCCATGTCATCTGTTTCATGGATTCCTCGGTCATGTATAGCCGTTGAATCCTCGGTAGGAACGGAAGGTACCGTAGGATTTTCATGGGGATCGTAAGTTGCCTCTTCATGCCATCATCGAGTCTACCTCCGTGCACCGGAGGATTTACACTTTGGACAGAACTTTGCATGCTCGTGTTCTTTCCTAAATAGGAGACACCCTTTCGGACAAGCATGTATCTGCTCATACGGCATCTTAAGTGCTCGAAGGAGTTTCTGTGACTCGTACATGCTCTTCGGCAGAATGTGGCCCTCCGGAAGCAAGGTGCCAATCACGGCCAACATCTTATCGAAGCCAGGTCGACTTAAGTTTAACTCGGACTTCAACCCCATTAAGCGTCCAATGGCATCCAGTTGAGACACCGTTGACCGATCGTGAAGGGGTTTCTGTGCCGAGTCCATCATATCGTAGAATGCCTGTGCGGCTGCTTCCATCTCCTCCTTCTCACGTCCCTCATCGAACTGTCCTTGGTGAAAGTCATCTAACATGTCTGCTACCCCGGCATCAGCATCAAAAGCCTCCACCCGTGGTCTCACCACCTCCTCTCTCATACGATGGGCTTCACCATGGTGGACCCACCGGGTGTAGTCCGGCGTAAATCCATTCTTCACAAGATGTTTACCCATTTCCACCTTGTTTACCCTTCTCCTGTTTCCACATTTGCTGCAGGGACACAAAACTAGGCAATGTCCTTTAGCAGCGTTGCCAAATGCACTGTTCAAGAAAGCATCGGTCTTGTTCATCCATTCCGTGGTGTAATCACTCTGACTTCTCCAGCCCGTGTACATCCACTGACGGTCATCCATCCTCTAACATATGTATCGGCGAGTAATGTAACCATTAATTGCATGTACATGGTGTTCCTACTGTCTAATAGGTGAGGATAGGTCCTAATCCCACCCGCAGATGTGTAGATGAGGTTAGTTTCCATGCTCTACTCCTATCCGAGACAGAATTTCGGCAGCACCTCCCCGCTGTTCTCCAGATACACGTCCTACCAAAGAAGAGTGTGTATCCGGAGAACAACAGGGAGGTGATGCCGAAAGTCTGTCTCGGACTAGAGCAGAACATGGAAACTAACCCATCTACGCATCCGCGGGCTGTCCAAAAAGCGTGGACAATCCAAAATAGATACGGTCATAGATATGCAAAGATCTGCATACCTCCAACCGTATCTCTTTCGAACGGGAGACGCCTAACTGGGTTACGCGATCTACGACAATGATATAAAAGAGGGGTTATACCTAGGGTGGCGATGGAGTCGGCTAAGGGGCCGCGGGTCGGTGCGATGGGCGAGACGACGCAGTGCAAGGTGAGACCGACACGCAGTGGCGAGAACTCCGACTCAACTCGACGGGCTCTTCTCTACAAAAATGGAACAAAATACTGTTATTTACAAAAAAAATCGTGAAACCTCCCCTGCACGGTGAGGTTTCCAAAACCTACAAAAAACAACGGCACGATGGCCGACAAGCACATATGGCTCAACAGAAGCCATGTAGTTTGGATATCAATCCATGTAGAAGAATATATCCAAGTAGTACCTCTACTTGTACTACTACTACCACTACTTCTACTACTACTACTACCACTAATTCTACTACTAATACTACCACTAGTTGTACTAATACTGCCACTAGTACAACTAATACTACTACAACTACCACTACCTCCACAATAATAAGTGAGAAGGCATACCTGACGGGCGACGGGGTAGGGGCGGGCGGCGTCGGGATCGGGCGGAGTCAGGGATGGGGTCGAGCACGGATGGCGTCGGGGCGGGTGGTCCACGGGGCGCGGCCGGGGGTAGGGCAAGGCCGGAAAAAAGGCGCGGCCGGGGCAGGGCAGCCGGGGTCGGCAGCGCGGGCGGGAATTGGGGAAGGGCCGGGCAGAGGGAACCTGTGCAGGCAAGGCGGCAGCGGCGGCGGTGGCCGAGGCGGGCCGGCCAGAGGCACGGGCAGCGAGGGCAAGGCGGCGCGGGCGGAGATGTCCTGGTTTGTAAGCATCGTACGTGACAACGTGTACGAAATCTTCTGAAATTTTTATCATAGCCTCCACATATGATATCACGACATCTCAACAAGTTTCATGATTTTTGGACTTCGTTTGCATTTTGTAGAATTTATAAACACTTCACACGCAATTTCGCGGACATGTTTCGTGAACGAGATATCCGAAATTTCGGGTCTGTTCCTGGATACGGCCTCTCATAACACACACTAACATGACTATCAATTTTCGAATCATTAAACTCCATTATTCGTACCACGTGCAGTTCAAATTTCTAATTTCCAGAAAAATTCAAGTAAACGAAATAAAGTAACTAAATATAACAAAAAGCCACAAAAAAATCTTCAAATTGTAACTAGGAGTTCCTGGTGCTTTAAAAAGTCACACAAAAAAAATTGGAGGCTAAAACAAAAAAAACAAAAAAAACTTTGCCGAGTCTTTGGGGCATGGCACTTTCGGCAAAGGGTGTCTTTTGCCGAAAGTGCCACCCTCACGCACTCGGCAAAAGAATGTTTTAATTTTTTTTTAATTTTTCCTCTTTTTGAAGTGCATACAGGGGAGCACTTTCGGCAAAGAAATAATTAAAAAATTTTAAATCTTTGCCGAGTGCCGCCCAGGGAGCACTCGGCAAAGTATTTTAAAAATAAAAAATTTTTCTTTGCCGAGCGCCAGATCTGAGACGCTCGGCAAAGAATTTTAAAAAAATAAAAAAAAATCTTTGCCGAGCGCCAGATCTGGGGCACTCGGCAAAGAAATTAAAAAAAAAAATCTTTGCCGAGTGCCTAACCGCAGGCGCTCGGCAAAGAAGGACGTGGCACGGCGCCGTTTCACGGGCAGCCTATGCCGAGTGTATAGATTTTGCCGAGAGTTTGGCGCTCGGCAAAGAAGTCCTTTGCCGAGTGCCTGTGTTTGCCGAGTGCCCGGCGCTCGGCAAAGAAATCTTTGCCGAGTGTAATTCTTTGCCGAGTGCAGCACTCGGCAAAGAAGATCTTTGCCGAGTGTCCGATTTTTGACACTCGGCAAAGAAATTTACACTCGGCAAAGTCTCTGTTTCCAGTAGTGGCAACCGTCGCGGCACATCGTGGCTAGAAGCCGCGCCCACAATGCATAAAATAGCTGGGGGCTATAAATCTAAACAAATATGGCCCTGTTTGTCTATTTTATAATCCATCTTTTTTTATTTTTTTTAGTTTATTTTTTCAGTCGAAACAGTATTTTTCTCTCACAGCAAATCGGTTGAAATAGTATTTTAACTTATTTTTTCAGCGAAGCAAACGGGACCTATATGTCTAGATTCATAGCTAAAGTGTCTGTGAAACATCCACAAGAAAAAGAATAAAAGAACATGTGTGCGACTCTGAGTTGAGGTTGGGAAACTGCAAATTACCTGGTAATCTGTGTGAAAAAAACTGATGCAGCGCTCCGGAGTTGGACCGTACCGTACCATGCACTCTCCATATTTACAGAGAACAGGCGGTCAGCATCTACTGTGACCAATCACAAAAGGGACAATGAACGGTATGAAGAATTATAGAATATGGGAGTTTGGTGACATTCCACAGCCTATTAATAATTAATTAATATTGATAGGATTAATAAGCGCCCTATAGAGAGGATTAGCCAAGGTGAACAGACACAGTTGTCAAGTGAAGGCCCAAGCTCTCGAACGAGGCGTTCTGGTCACAGATTTCCTCCGTCGCCCGGCCGACGAAGCGCAGCAACCGGAACGGCTTCTCCGGCGGCGCTCCTCCTGCACCCAGCATTGACAGGCAGTACGCAAAGAGCGCAGCCACCGCGCACTGGCTCCCAAACTCCTTCGTAACCACACGGCCATCGGCGAGCCGGACCCTCACCTTGCAGACCTTCTCCTCCAACGACTCCGGCTGCGGCTGACCTGCCACGGCCGGCTCTGTCGTCACCGTTGTCGTCGTCGGTGCCTGTTCTTGTCGAGTCTGTCATGTAGTAGGCGCCACCGCCACCGCCACCGCAGCCACGACGACGGCATCAGGCTGTTTTCTCGTCACCGTCGTCGTCGGTGCCTGTTCTTGTCGACTCCCTGCGGCACGTTCGGAACTCGTCGGAGCGGTAGTCGTCGACGACGTCGTTGCAGGTCTTGTGTTACTCTGCGCGCCGGCTGATGCGCTGGTGCAGGTGGGCTTCTTGGCCATGACGACAGGAATGACCGGCTTCGTCTCCGTGAAGGGTCCCAGGCGCACCATGAAGTCGTTGAGCTCGCAGGCGGCGCAGCCGTGCAGCACGTCCATGGCCTGCCCGGTGACCGGGTCGACGACCACCACGACGGGGAGCTTGTCGTGCGGGATGTTGTTGTACCCGAGCACCTTCTTGGCCTCCTCCCCCTCCCCCTGGCCGTCGTCGTCGTCGTCGTCCGCGGCGGCGTTGGCGTCGGCCTGCCAGAGCACGAAGCGGTCCCTGACGCACCGCGCCACCAGGGCGTTCCCCCACACGTCGCGGTTCTGGTGCAGCGACGGCAGCGGAACCTCGAAGCTCTGCACGTTCGCCAGCAGCCACCGCGCCCGCCGCGCCGCACCTTCGCGGCGTGGAACCCGCCTTTGTACGTCAGCGAGTGCGGCACCTTGAACAGCTCCTCGAACGTCCTGTTCCGCGACGGCGGCGGCGGCGGCGCCGGCCGGGCCGCCTCTTCCAACTCCTCCAGCATGTTGTTGTCGTCGTCGGAGGAGGAGATGGTGACAACCTCACGGAAGCGGTGGCGGCTGTTGTTGTCGTCGGCTTTCTTCGTCTCGCCTTCAGAAGTGGGCTCTGTGGGATTGAGCCGGCGACGGCGGCTGTTGTTAGTTTCCTCATCCTCCTCCTCCTCGCCATCAGAGAAGATATCTTCACGGAATTCACGGAAGCGCCGGCGACGGCTGCGGTTGCCATCCGCCTCCCTGGCCTCCCTGTCACCACCAGGGGTGCCGCCGCTGCCACTTCCACGGGACCGGTTGCCGCGGCAGCGGCAGCGGCGGCGGCGGCGGCGTTCACGACGGCGGCTGCTCCTGCTCCTCCCAACGACTCTGGTCTCGCTGTCCCACCTAGATACCCTGCTGGTACGGCGGGCTGGGACCGGCGGCCGAGCGCGCACCGCATCCGCATCCTCCTCCTCCCACGACGACGAGGAGTCGGAAACGGAAACCTGTGGCCGCGACGGCGGTGGGGAACGAGAACGACTGCCGGTCCCGGACGGTCCTGCGTCGATGGAGAAGAAGCTGTTGACGGCCCTGCCGTGGTGACCGCCGCAGCTGGGGAGGCAGTTGAAGGCGTCCTCGCGGCCGCACCCGGTGGCCTTCATGAAGGCGGCTACGAGGGCTTCGTCCTCCATATCTGAGAACGAAGCGCCAAAACGCGGCGGGATCGGATCGATCGGAGCGGCACGAGGAAGGGGCGCGGCTCATCTCCTTATACCCTCTAGCTACGTGTGCACAAACCGAGTCGGCTCCGAGTCCAACTCCTGAGTCCTGACTTGCTCCACACCACCGACCTTTCTGATATACTCGATCAGAGATATATACTTGTAGATATTATTGATCCTCATCTATTGTTTCGGTTCATATTTTTGCGGTATCCTCAACATCTTCCGAGATGATGTCATGATGATGACCGCCCAACGGCCCAACATTTTGGGTATAAATAAACAACTAAACAACAACTTCAACAAATACTACAATAAAGAATGTTCTATATATTTTTTCTAAATTATCCTAACCAGTTTTATATATTTTTCTAAATTATACATTTGCATCATGACCTTTTTTTCGACTCTTTATTCTTCCCCCTTCCACCTCTAGATTGGCCGAAGGATGCGGTGTTTGGATCGGCCGCACTAGAAGATATGCGCGACCTGGAGTCCGCGCATCTTTACGCGCAAGGGGATTTTTTCCCAAGTGCCTAAAAGATGGGGTCGTGAGTTTGGAGTTGTTGGAGATGGATTTTTTCATTCTTCTCATGGATTTTTTTCATTCTTCCCAAAAATCTGAATTGGGAAGGATTATTGGGTACTCTTGAGATGCTCTTACCCGCCTTATTTGGATAGGGTATTGGTAATTTTTTTAGCCAATTGAAATATAATGGGTAGGGGAGGGTATGGGGAGTTGATTATCCATGGATAAGCCTTTAGCTCAATTAATTATTTATTAGCATAAATGGGTGGATTAGATAATACAAAGTATGTGGGACCAACATATTGATTTTATGCACATGTTGTTGCCTGCTACAATATAATGAGTCATCTTCAACTAATTTCAGTCAATTTCGTGAAAATTTTAAGGTGTGAACGCGAGGTTTTAATTTTAGGGTCCAACTTTTAACGTGGGGGCTCATATATAACTAGCAACATTAATCTCCACAAAGTTGACGCCTATTATAATGAGTCATCTCCAACTAATTTCAGACAATTTTACAAAAATTTTAAGATGTGAACACGAGGTTTTTAATTTTAAGGTCCAGCTTTTAATGTGAGGCCCACCTTTAAGTCTAGCTGCACTAGTCTGCACAAAGTAGCTCGATCAATTTTGTCTAAAATTTTAAGTGTGAGTGTGAGATTTTTAAATTTTAAGGTCTTACTTTTTATGTGGATCCCATATATGGATCTAATATTGTTAATCTACGCAAAGTTGAAGACTACTGTAATGAGTTATTTCACCAAGTTTAGTTATTTTCACTAAAATTTTAAGGTGTGAACGCAAGATTTTCAATCCGGGGTCCAACTTTGATATGCGTCCCACATGTATATATAACACGTGTATATATGTAAAATATTAATAAAAACTAGTAGCTCAATTCAAAACAATGAGTATATGGATAAAATTGGTTATTATCCAATGGGTATGATCCTATGGATAAGATTGGGAGGGTGAGAAATGAATAATGATAATACGAATTTGGACATGAACAAGCATAGATTTATCCATACCCTCCCCAGTGGCAAGTATAAAAATATGCACTCGTCCTTATTTGAATATGAGAGCACAATTTTAGCTCAATTTTTTGTGACTATGTTTAGGAAAAATAAATAGTCATATTTATTGTCGGTTCTAAGTCAAATGCTAACTCTCCAAACAAATTGTGGTACATGACACTCAAAGTCAAATGTTGGATGATTTTGTCATTGTTATGAAAAAAACAACACTTCTCATCACTCCTCCAATTTTGTTTTAGAATCAAAGATTATTCTTTTAAGTGACCTCCTTAGTAAAAAACAAACAATTATCTTGACTTTTAAAGGTGGTTTTAGTTTCCATAGGGCTTTATTTAGAGGTCACTGCAGCATGTCCTATTATAGAAGGCATTTTGTCAAAGGCATTTTTTTTAAACTGCCTTAATTTATTATTGTACAAAGGCATTTCTCTCAAAAGGCCTTTAAACGTATTTTTTAAAGGCAAAATTAAAAAACGTCTTAAATAATTTCAATCTTTTGAGGTGTTTTTACAAAAACGCTTTAATTTCTTCCAACTATTGGAGGCATTTTTTAAGAACGCCTTTGCTGTGCGCCTGTAAGCATATAGAAAACGAGGACTCAGTTTCAAAAAAAAAAAAAACGTGGACTCTCCTACTGGTCCGTTACCTTCACCTCACTCCCTCCCCGATCCTTCCTCTCTCTCTTCCTCCCCGACGCCCGACGTCCTCCCGGCGAGCTCACCGTGCCTCACCGCGCGCCCACCACGCCCCACCACGCTCCTCCCCGCGCCCCACCGCGCTCCTCGCACCATGGATGGCGGCGGGAGGCCCTCGACGCGGTGGCCCGGCACGGCGACCCCAAGCGCAGCGGAGCTGGCGCGGACGGGCCCTGGTGCGGCAACCCCAGCGCGGATCCAGTGGCGCGGCGGCCCTGACGAGGTAGGCCCTCCTCCTCCTCCTCCTCCTGGATATAGGGTTCTGGCGAGCTTTTCCCCTCTCTCTCCCAACTCCGATCCAGCGCAGGGAGGCCGACGGGACCATGGGGAGGTGGCGCGGCTGCGTCGGGCGTCTCGGGGAGGACGGCGCGGCTACGAGGAGGCGGCGCGGCGGCGAGATTGTTAGGTTCGCGAGCTCGCCGATGAGGAGGTCCTCCACAACATCCCGGCATGAGGCGTTCGCGAGTGCTCCACAACAGAATGCCTCTGTGATTTTCAGGAATGGCTTTGGATCACATCAAGACCAATCCTCTTAGCAAAAGCAAACTGCGGACAGAGTAAATAACACATCTAAAATTGGGCAGGTTTATGTACTATGCTCATAGGGTAACAGAAAATTAAAACCGAAAGCTCTGCCACATGAACCACGAAACTGTCTACTGATGAAAACTGAAAACCACATGACTGAGCACATGTTTTTATAAATGCTGCTTGATTAGTATAGCATCAGAGGGTTAGGTGTGTTGCCATTCAACAGATGTGTGCTTTATGTAGGGAGTACTCTGCATGGCCGGGCTTTGAAATATGAACTGAACCATGCTGTGTATTGTTCACCTAAAGAAGCAGCATGTGCTTGCGCTCACAATCAGTTGTAGGAGTATTCTGCATGCCAGCATATATGTTTGAGATGCAAATGACTTGCATTGCCTACTGATACAGTAGATCAGGAACTGTGCATAACTTTAGATGAATTAGTTTCATAAACTAGTTGACATTTATTAACAGGAATTCGCCTGATGCGAAGAGCAAGCACAGTAGAGACACGGAATTTATGCTGGTTCGGGCCCCCGGAAAGCAAGTAAAAGCATACGTCCAGTTGCTACTTGTTTGTATTAAGATCTCGTCGAATAGCGAGATGGCTATTACAAGATGGCTACGTCTATGAGAGTTTCGATGATTACAACAGGACGGATATCTAGCTATTTGTATCCGAGGCCTACTTGCCCTACAAGTTACAGAGTCGTGCCCTAGTCGGAGTCTTGGCGTAATCTTCAGATATCCTTCTTTGAATGGACGAGTCGTGAACCTTCGGGCCTTCTTCGGTATGGATTTGGTAGCTAGCATATCTGGTAGTCGGGAATCCTAAGAGTATGGCACCGTCTGAGAGCCCCCTGAGCTTATCGGTCAAGTGAGACTTGGTAACCTTCCTGTTCTCGGGCCTTTTCAGGGTGTTCGGAATCGGGAATTTATTTCAAGAGCCCGAGTTCATACCCATGAGAGCGAGGCTGGTCAGGTAGAAGTTATAGGGTCACGCAGTTGGACGATGAGCTGTAAAAATAAAATAAGCCATACTTTGGAGTCGTCTTGTCTTGTCAATGCGGTCTTCGTCCGAGTCAGGCGGCGGTTGTCAGGCACTCTAGTGGCCGTGCCGGCTTGACTTCCGAGGATTACGCGTGGCTTGCGATTAATGCGTCGGTTCGGTTCATGGGTGACGAGTGGCTTGCCTTCCCAATCACCCCGGCCCTGGCTTTATAAGCGGGCGTCTAAGTGTTGGATTGGATCCATTTAGCATCTCCATGTTTGCAATCATGAGGACTAAGTCCGTCGGCCGTCACCGCAAGACCCCTTGCCTGTTGCTCGGGGATTCACCCGGGCAGTCCGTGGGGGCCTCGCCTCTATCGTCTCCTTCAGCGGTGGCGTCTCCCGCTCTAGCATCACCTGCTACTTCCGCCCCAACTTCAACTTCAGCCGTGGCGAGCACTGAGGAGATCGCTGCCCCGGGGGAGCCAGAGTCCAATGCGGCGCCGGAGGGTGTCATCGAGCTCTCCGACGATGAGTCGAAAGATTTGGTCACCTCCCTTGCTGCTGCCGCCAGCGCCGGTCCCTCTGAAGCCGGACCCTCCACTCCTTGGGTCGTCGTCGTGCCTGACACAAGCGACAACTCGAGTTCGCCCGAAAGCTTTTTGTCAAGCTAAACCGGGAGGCCATTGGAATCCCCGGTGACGGGGCCTGGTCGACTTGGTGAGCGACGATGAGGACACCGTGGAAGTCGACGCCGGCAAGGGGGAGAAGGAAGTTTTCCCAGGTGATGAGGTGGAGGAGGGCACCGCGGTAGACGATGAGCCGCCGAAGCAGGCCGCCGTGAATCCCAGTCCTCCACCAAGCGCCTGAGCTTGGTGACGGTCACCTTGATCGGGCCATTCTATCCCCTATACTACAAGGATTTTGTCCTTGCGGATCGGGACTCGTTCAAGCCTGACTTGGTGATCGGTCTAGGAATAATCAATTAGGGTTTTTAGATTCTCCTTGTAAATCCGCATTTAAGCAAAGTTTATTAATGAAAACTCTAGTCGGTCTATCTTTGCAGTTAAATGTGTTTATACATTTGGTGCGTTTATGAGTCATTCTGCTCATCCCGTGCTATTTGGGACTTTAGCTCTTGCTCATTTGTCAACCAAACATGCAGAAATATATAACTAAATTTCTTTTC